ATTCCGGATTTCTTTCCAAACGTCGATCTGTCAGCCTGGATCCTTCGCGTGATTTCGGACTGTCGTCGATCCTTTGGTTTGACAATCTTTGCGAATCTAGGGCAGATCGCTTTTCCAAGATTCTTCCGCGAGAAACTCGCGATTCAGAGTTTCGTTCCAAACGTCGATCTGCTAGCTTGAATCCTTCGCGGGATTTCGAGCTATCGTCGATCCTTCGTTCCAATTTTCGCGAATCGAGACGTGCCGAATCCAGAGCGACTTGTCGCTCTAAAACTCGTCTTTCCGGAATTCTTTGTTCGGACGTTCGTCGTTCAGCTTCGCGTGGTCTCTGCAATGCGATCCTTCGTTCTTCGCGCGATCGGCGATTGTAGTCTCTGGAATCTCTGATTCTCGCGATTTCCCGATGATCCACCGAATTACGCTCGACCAAACGGGAGGCTCGTGCGAATCTTTCTTTTCGTTCCCGACTCGCGATTTCTTCGACATCGTAACGCGATCGTGTCATTCTATGATTCTCCCTGACTGCCGCGTTTTCACGCGAATCACGTCGGCTTGCGGTCCTTTGCGAGCGATTAATCCCTTCTCGACGCACGTCCTCGGATGAGAGTCGTGGCATCGCCCGGTTGAAGGATTTTCGATCAGCAATACGATTCTCGCGACGTTCCATAGATCGGACCGATAATCTGCGCTCCTCGGATCTCGCGGTGTTGAATTCAACCGATTTGATTGATCGTCTGCTAAGGCGATTGCGATTGAGATCGTCGAATCCTGAACGTTCCATCGAGCGAGACAGCGTTTGACGATCGTCAGACCTAATAAGATCTCCACGAGAATTTCTAGCGACCGAAAATCGTGATTTACGTTCTTGATTAGCGACGCGATCGTGAAGAGCGCGACGATTTTCCAGAGACCGTTCCCGGTTTCGGCGATCCAGATTATCGTTGCGATCGATATCCTTTCGAGTGAATTTTGCCGAACGATTTAAGAGATCCCTGCGATCCTCGCGACGATCTGATCGTACCGCGTCCCGATGTTCGATTGACATACGTCGCTCGACAGATAGAGATCTACGTTCGCGTATCTCGGATCGGTCATTCGGGACACGATTTCGCGACAGATCTCGGTGTTCGCGACGACCCGCTAGGACTTCGCGCGATTCTTGTCGATTGACTTGTCGCTCCGTCGGGAGGGATTTACGATCGCGATGATCGCTCGTACGACGCTGAAGATTCGGAGAATCTCGCCGGTCCGCCGATCGATCGACGCGATTTTGCCGTTGCGCGATTTCGTTGAGCTCGCGCCGTTCCGTGGATCGGCGATCTTCGAGCCGGGAGTTTAGAGGATCGGCCAGACGACGCTCAAAATTTGGCTTGGAACGACTCGCAGAACGGCGATCGGTTGCTCCGTTAAACAGATCTCGCGATCGAGAGAATCGAGTGGCGGGATCGAAGGAGTTCCTGATGTCGCGGGACTGCGCGCTCGTTCTAAAGCGGGATTCTCGAAAACGGTTGATGGATCTGTCGTCGGATACGCGAGTCCTCGATCTTGACAGCCTTTCGACTGCCCTTAGATCTCGGTTTCCGGACAATCGCTCTCTGATCTCCTGCGAACCGCTCCTGGACAAGCGATCGAAACTCAGCGATCGAGAGAGTACTGATTTTCGAGATATAGGTGATGCTCTTGATTCAGATAGTTTTATTTCATGTTCGTTAAGCGGTTTTGTAGCTTCTTCCGGTTCGGCAATCGAGTTTTTGGCAAAGGGAATCAAGTTCGGACAGGCGTCCACCCTAGAAAAAATGATCTTCTGTAATTCTTGCAACAAACAATTTTACATAAAAAAGATTTATAAAAACAAAAAGAATCTTTTTATTTTTAATAAAGAGCACAATTAAAGGCGTTTATGTTTCCGACATAATTTGATATTGCAAAGCATCTTTGTGACAGATTAGTGACATTTAAATGCATATAAGAGAGAGGAATAAGAAGAAAGTGACAAATGAAAGATATAGATGATTGGTATAAAGTGCTTAGAAGATTTAAGAAGAGATAGAATAAAAATAATATTTAAAGTTTAGAAAGATCGACGTAACATGTATAATTTAGGAAGCACACATTTACGACTTTAAGCCGGAAGAATAATTTCATACTCGTGGGGTGCTTGATGCGTGAGCTCAGGTCCTGCGAGACTACCGGAGTGTCCCTCTCTATCCCTGGATACCAATCCTAGCGTCAGACATGCCAGCGATACTATCAGAAGTCCGATGTACTGCCAGGATCGCACGGGTAGCACTACGTGGCGCGTACGCCGCATCCTGCCGCAAAATATTATTACAAATCTCAATCTTAATTAAATAGAAAGTAATGTTATCTCCGTTATTCGTATCGAGTCAATTAAATCGCGTTTGAAAGATTTTAAAACTAAAGGCGAATGGTACAATGCGTTTGGAAGAAGACTAGTTTCTTTATAACATACGTGATGATGTTTTTTTTTTTTTTAATTCTTTGTTTAACAATGTCCCGTCTCGAAATTTAGAGTAACACGTATTGCGCTGGATTTCAATAACTTGAGAATATCGTGGAATGTCGCGACAGCGAAAAGTGTCATACCTGAGGAACTAAGAACTGCCGCGACCAAGCTTTCCGAGGTATTTCGAAAGGCCTCGGCAAGGGCTCTTCAAGTGCAGGGCTCAGAAGTGCTTCTCGTCGGTGCTCCGGAAAGCTGCTGACGCCGGACGTCCCGAGGGAGCGGCTTTTATACTCGCAGGAGTCGCTTCGTAATTTGATAAAAGCGCAATTCGTCGCTTATCAGCGACGGCCACATGGTGCCCCATACGTCAGCGCAACAAGATCGCGGTGAACAAAGGGCGGGCGATGTTGCGGGCGGAAAGATTGGAAAACCGCGACGCATTCGGTTTAACCAGCTAGAAAATTGCGAATCGGGTCGTCTCTATGGGACGGAGGTCGCGCGTGGGTGTCCTTTAAAGCCGTGTCGATGCTTAATTCCGAAGGATCGGAATCACACTCGGATGAGATCATTAAGCGAAATCTATCTCGATCCATGTAATAAATCTGGTATTAGAGAGATGTTAAATATGTCTCCGATATGGGAACTTGTAATAGTTGAATAATTAATTCTATCGGTTTCAAGTATTAAGGAGGTCGTAAGAAAAATCAGAAATTTTTAGATTTATATAAAATTTAAAATATTAGCTTTTTTTATAAATAACCTCAGCATGTAAATTTTCTTATATTTTTTTACCGAATATTTTATAACAAAATTCAAAATTTTTTAATGGGTAAGATAACGTAAAATGCTGCATATCAATTATCAATAAAAATAACTATTAAAAATGTTAAGAATTGAATAAATTTATGTTTAATATATAAGGAGATGAGACAAAAATGTATCAGCGAGAACACGTTTAGAGGAAATGTTTACAGACATTTATTTTTATACAAACACGCATTACAAAATAATAAAACGCGAGAGGATGCACGCCTTATACATATATATATATATGTTATTAATAATTATGTATTTACACATTATATTATATTATATACTTCTATATTTATATATATTTATATATATTTATATATATATATCTATATACGCTTAGTGTGCTGGATCGACAAAAATTTTTTTGAAAATTTTGTCGTTTTCTTACCAGCCACCTAAATACTTTAGGAATATCCCGATTTGTGTTTCGAGCGGTCGGGGCTCGTTCGAGAAAGTCGCTTACAAGGTAAAATCGCTTAAATTAATAAGTTAATCAAGCTCCGTCTTGCAAATTTGAAAATATACAAAAAAAAAACATTCGTGAGACGAGAGAACCGTATTTGTCGTACTTGAATAACTGACAGTGCGAATTGCATTTGCCGTGCAGCCGCTAACTGTCGTTGACTATTCGCTCAAGGCCTCTTATAACACAACGATCGATACAACGACAATAGTGACCAGGTTTATCAAGTAGGTGTGGGGACCTTTGGGGGAGCCAGACGTGAATCTGATCTCGCTGCAGACTGTGTCGTTCACTTCCGGGAGTGCCGTAAAATTTGGGAAGTTCTGAATATCTGCCGGCTTGAAAAATTAATTTAAAAAATTAATATATATTTACAAATAATATATATGACAAATAATATGTATAACAATACTGACAAGAAATTAATAAATTTAATCTGTATGGTAGAAATTATCCGGTAACGTTTCTTGGTATACTTTTCTTGAAGGAGCATCATTGTGACTTTAAATTGTAACTAGGAATAAGAAATTGTGAGAGATTTTACCAATGCTAATTGATCGTCCCTCTTTCTGCAGAATGTCATGTGTCTACCGTGATAAATGCTATTTTCTATCTTCTTTGCAAGCAAATCTTCTGTCCACGGCAGAGCCAGTATATGTTCGATCATAGTTCGACCTGGAAATTTAAGAAAATATTAGGGGGAAAACGTTCAAAATAATCTCTTCAATCGCAAAAAAATGTTATAATTATTTACCAATATTTTATTTATTTAATTTTTATTTTTATCATTTATACCTCGAAATTCCTCGGGTTCCTCAATGATGAGTCGTGTGTAGATGTTATCGTCATCATTTTCGTCCATGTGTTCTTTCATGGCCCTTAATGCAGACTCAGCTTCTTTAACGACACTCTTGTCAATCTCGTCGGTCGATCTCATGTCTGAATAACCGGGAAACTGTTGCTGATTGAGCGAAGGCGAAATCAAGTCGGATCTAGAATTTTTTTTATAAAACAAAAATTTAAATCAGGCGACGAGATTTTTCTTTCGATTTATATTTTTTACATATATATGCAATATATAATAAAAATGTTCTAAATCCGTTTCTCTCTTCTCTTTTGTAGTATTAAAGGAGATAAAAATTAATAGTTCATAAATTAGAAAAAATCTGCAGATATAATGTACGAATATTAAATTAAAGAATTTTCGTGATAATTGATATAACAATAGATCTTATGGAACGTCCTAAAATTCCCATTATCCCGCACGAGGTAACTCACCCATTCGTTAGGAACATCTTCTCCAAGTAGTCTATCGTCATCCCCCGGAAGCTGTTTATGCCGAGAGTCTTGATGAGCTCCTTGACAGGCGTCATACTATAACAAGCGGCGAGAGGTGTTCTGGGATAATGCACGATGAATGCCAGACACATCTCCTGGGAAGCCGCGTAGCCGCCTAAAGTCAGCCTGCTTCTGTCCACAGTTTGGTAAATACATTCTGCAATCAGCTCGTCACCGGGCAGCACCTTCACTTCCTTCTCCAGGGTGTGAGATTGCTGATAGTTGAAGTCGAAGTGATTGTCCTGGACTATCATCGGCAACTCTTTACCTTGTCGAATGTGCTTCAGGCTCAGACGCCGACCAGCCAAATGCGAGTGCAAGACAACCGATACGACGTTGATACCGTCCTCAGGGAACATCTGAAATAGAATTTGATATCAACTTTATTTCTTTCGATTTACACCCGTTTTTATTTTATTATATTTTATGTTATTTCTTAGTATAAATGTGTATACCGCAATGAAAGTCTGGAAATGTAATAATTCTGAAAAATGCCAGAAATTACAGTAATATACACAACAAAAATAGTAAAGTTATATCTTCATTACTTCAATTTAATATTTAATTTAATATAAAACACTTCAATTTAGTATAAAAAAGATATTATTTATAATATCTTTCCTGCGAATGGCATAATTGAATATCTTGTAACTCTTCAATTACCGTGTTGGTGCAGTGCGGAGTGCAATATCCGGCGGTGGCGTATTCCTGTCGCTTCGGGGGTATCACATGAAGAGGGCTCACCGCTATGCCGGCCACGAGAATGCCCGCTTCTTGAGGACGAAGCTTCGGAGTCAAGTGAAGTCTTATGCCGCTGCTGTCGGTCACCTTCTTCATGCTCGGATTATTGTAATGGACTTCCAGCATGTAGTACGAGCTGTCGCCGTGTTCCGCTATAGGTATACCGACGTGCTCCGGCATCCATTCCCCTGCGTGACACAATGGTAAACGATTATATATATATTACACTATTTATAAAATTAAAGAAAGTCTTTAGATTATAAAGAACAAAAAAATAAAAAAGAAAGTTTCCTTAATGCGAACAGGATCTAGGTCGATTTCGTCGGCTTTATTTTGACATTCTGAACCTTCGTGGGGAATTTTGTGCAGATTATTTGGCCGAAAAGACTTGGCTGACAATAATCTGCCTGCACTTTGTAGATAATTTACCTTTACTGCCACGAGCCCAGGCGAGGACGGGTTGCAGACACGAGTCCCATTCTCGCGGCATTGTCGGACTGTAGCAACGGGCGCCGGCGATTCTGGCGTGTTCCCCGAGGATCGGTGCCGTCGACGCGCACTCGTACAGAATTATGTGATGGACCAGACCTTCGTTCGCCTTCTCCACGAGCGGGGTGTACTGAAATGCATAAATAATGCATAAGCTCAAGATGCCTAAAATCGCTCCGCTTCGGATTAGGCGATTTGAAATTTGCGCGAGAGATCTCTCTCGAGGTCTTCAGTTCAGGAAAGATTACGTTCGTCGAGACATGGGAGATCGTCGAAAGATCTGGGCCCGCCGTTAGAACGTCGTGGCGAGATCCTGGGAACGATCGTGATCGTTTTTCCCGCGATTGTTCTCCCATTGATAGTCGACGAACGTTTCGATACGCGCAGTGACATCATTCCGGTTCTTTTTTTTTATTCTAACGACGCGCGCGTCTACCCCATACGACGTCCGGCATGAATGACCGTGATTCGTGAAGCACATACGAATAAGGCCCGGCCTTTACATTCCATCACAACGCCGGGACTTATTCTCGAGAGGTCCGCGTCTACTCGAGAAACCTGTTAGCGCGAATTTGCATCGCCGCGTACTTACCCCTATCATATGGTGTTTCTTTTTCAACGAGGAGGCTTTGAAGATCTTGCACCAGTAGACGGTGTCCGTATTGTCCACCTCAAACTGTCAAACGGAAACATCGTTAAGTCACAATTCATCAAGACGCGCGCGGAATGAAGAAAATGGCGAAAGCGGTTCGGAATTAAATTAAATTAATGGTGAATTTAAAATATTCATAATATAACTATTCATTCGTCTTTGGCTTCTCATTTTGTTAGAATAATGAATATAAGTAATTATCTAAACCGCCGTTAATTATCTGAACTTGGTAGAAAAATTATAAGAATATTGAGGAAAGAGGGTGTCTTATTCTTTTACCAGTTTACCTGATTAAGCTTTACGTCCCAGTGTCGCATATTACGAGTTTCTCGCGGTGGCGAATGTCCCGCAGCTGTCTTCAGCCTCAGAGCCCTTCCGCCTCGTTTATCCCCGTGCCACGCCGCCGTGTTTAATTCGGGATCGGTGTCATGCAGGGCCCACAGTACCCTGATGGTGTCACTCTAAAAGCGAATTTCGCCAGTTAAAGCGACAATAATCATCGATATTGCGTTTCAAAAATATTCTCGAGTTACAGTGTCCTGTTTTATTTTTTTTCTGTTTTATTATATTCCGGTAAATAATATATATATCTCTGTCAAAGTATTATAATGGCGTGACTGCAATTAAAATCGAATACGTTGACCGCCGGAGGATCGTGCCACGGCGAAAGGGGACAGACGGCATGCTAAACGCCTAAATACCACCGCGGGAATTCGAGACTGCGGGGCCCTACGGCCTCTTAAAGCCGCGGGACCCCTGCCTCCCTCCGAGCATAAATCGAAAGAGGGTTCTCCACGAATTGTACGGAGCCGCGACAGTTATACTGTAAATCTTTCGGACAACGCTTCTCTCTCTTTCTCTCTTCTTCAGACCCTTTTAAAGGACTCTGTTTGGCCGACGAGATATGCACGGCGAGATTTGCTTTCTTTGCACGCATTTTAATTACAGAGTAGCGGATTAGAGGTCGGAAGGTAATTTCGATGTTAGCGAGGCGCGATAAATTCCCGGCCCTCGCTGCGTTAATGCGCGCTTGCGAATCACCGTTGGCATCCGAGAATGACCCCTTTCAATTACGTAGAATATTTGAAGCCCCCGCAGGCCGCAGAGTTTATAAGATTTATTTTAAGTTTAAAGTGATGCCCGAAATGCACCTTGCGGTGCTCGCTCGCGGCAAATCTTAATTCTAGGCAGTCAATCCAATCATCCGTTTCTACAATACTTTTTTCTCTTGGCCTATTTTTAATTTGCTACAATTGTTCAACGTAACATATTATTTAATTGACATCTTGCACATTACTTGAGAATTGAAAGGTCAGCCAGACCTGTATTTGCGTGACAAAAATGTTAATATAAACATTATAAGATAATTATAATTCCGTCTCAGCGATTACCGAGAGTTGACGATCCTGAGGGTCGCACGTCTGCCACTTCCTGGCGAACGTCACAATGGTGTGGGTCTCGTTTTGCGAGCCGCCGAGTACTTGGACATCCTGGTACACGTCAGTAACCGGCGCGGCGTTCATCTCCTCGATACCGTGCGAGTCCTGAAACACGAAAGGGAGGAGAGAGAGATGTTAGAATTGTCAGAGGGGGTTCAACGTACTCGTCGAAACGAGGGCCCCGCGGGCCCCGAAACTCGCTCCCTCGCTATTGGACGAGAGATCGAGAGCTCTATCGGGTCAGGTAAACGCCAGGTGTTCGCATCCGAGGTGAACTGGGACTTTAGGCCCTTCTACCCGACACAATTCGTCTCTCCATCTTTACCTACTTTCTCTTTTACCTTTGCTTGAGTAAAGTACGATGAACTTTCGTCATTCTTTGTTATGGCGTGGCTTTCGTCCACGGTCCACCAATGTGACGCATCTTACGCGCATTATAAAAAAGAGAATATGTGTTGATGCATTTCATAAAATTATTCACGCCGCGATTATACACGGAGTATATACCTTTTATAAGTTCTTTAATAAACTCGGAAATCAATATTCCCGTAACAAAAACAAATTGAGATATTAGTGGCCCGGAATTAAAAATTATGAGCCACTAAAGAGTTAATTTCAAGGCTGTAAATTAAGATCTGAAGTCAATTTCGATAAAAACTTGACAGGAAAGGCATTTAGCGGATACTACATTTAAGTCGATGACAGATTATCCTCTATTATTTCGCTGAGCTAAAGTCAGCCCGGAATTCGTCGACTCTGCGCGAATAGGTTCGAACTCCGGAACAGCTTGCGTCCGAATTTTATGAAGAACGAACGTGTGCGAAATCACGGACCAATATATTTCAGTGGCCGGCGATAAGGCGTCTTGCGCTTCGAAAATAAGAAGAGAGAAAAAGAGAGGAAGGGAACTGATTTTCCAGCTACTATGTGGTAGCGCACGCGAGTAAGGGCGGCCAGCCGCAGGCGTTTGGGTCCGTTGGGCCCCGGTTACGGTGGAGCGCCCCGCTGACGTTTGTACGTGCGAGGCGTGTAGCGGGGCTCCCGAAGGGAAGTCCCCTTCCTGCACGTAATGAATCCGAATAATTGCCGGAGAGCGTCGTCATGCCCGGTGGAGTACTACGCGCCTCGTAACGAGCACGTGCAGAAAGGAAACGATAATAGGCGCGCCCTTCTCTCTCTCTCTCTCTCTCTCTCTCTCTGTCTCTGTCTCTCTCAAAACATCGCGAGAAACCGGTGGAAAATGCGAAGCGGGAGGGCAGATGCTCGTTAACGCGTAAAACGATTCACAAAGTGTTCGTGTCTCTGCGAGGCCCGTTTCGAAATTACACACTCTCGCACCCCGCCGCAGAATTATCGCCCTCGTGCCGTTGAAATTTTATTCGGCGCGTATTATCATAAATAATTTTAATCGTCTCTTTCAGTTTAATTGCGGATTTGCGAATATCATCAGAAATATGGTGTGAGGCCAATAAGTAAATCAAATATTATAGGTAAGTCAAGAATAGAATTGCAAAATTGAGAAAAGAATTATTTATATGTTGTTTATATTTTCAGTATATACAGTGTTAAATTCGTAGTGTTAAATTATACTCTTGTCAGTTTAAGTCTTTCGGAAAGAGACGTTAAGCTGTTGGTCCAAAGGAAAATATTTTCGCATAAAAGATACAGAGGTTATTTCGTAAAATAATAAATTTCGACATGATTAAAAATAATAAAATGATATTTAACTCTTTCAAGGTATTGGTGTCATCCTTTAATATTTAACAGTATAGATACAAAAAAGAAAATACATAGAAATTTTATTAGGCTACCAAGATCCAGTTCAGATCGTAAATAACTTTATCTTCTAAACCGATAAAGGAAAAATTATGTTTAATATTAAATAATTATACGTACAAATCCAGCAGACTGAAATAATTTTTGTGTTTCCTGGAATCACTGATGTGCAGAGTTAATAGATGATTTTTTATCTTCGAGTGAAAACAAACAGATTTTAATTACAATCAGTTCGCGAGGAACAACCCGACCGGCCGAGTGTCATAATAATACGCGTGCATAAATCTTCCCGGAAGGCTGCGAGAATCTTTTTTTTATCTCGATCGGAGCGGCAGAGTCGTATCGCTATTTCGTCGGGTTCAAGTGCGTTCTCACGAAGTTCGCGAGACGGTTTTCTCATGGCGCCCGGATATTCTCATCGCCATCGGGTTAATTAGTACAGCCCTAGCGTTGTTCGGCGATTAAAAAGGTCTGAGAGCGTCCTAAGAGCGCTGCTAATTTATTCCGTCGTTATTCAAAATTTGATATTCCAGAACGAAACATTCGTCCGATTAGCGAGACTCTCGCGCTAATCATAATTTGTTTTTTACATTCCCTGGTCCTTTTTACTTTGCAAGATTTTATATCAATTAGTCGAAGATTGAATTTACGGTGCCGTTATCGCGTTTGACGCGGCTGACGGTGAATGTGGATCCATTACTTTAATACATGCTCGTCTTATCGGATCTTCTTTCAGCATCGCGCGAGTACACTACCACGCCGTAAGATTGAACCGTATAAAGACAATATTTGTTCCATTCGCGCGCTATCTCGGGCGTCAATTTATCGGGGACAAATCCAAACACGTTCGGGCAGTTTGCGTACGTCTGAGAACCAGTTGAGTGTCGCGACTAGCATAGCGTTTTGATAAAAGAGACAAAGTAGGAAACGCTCTCGATTCCCACGCTGGATTATCGCGACCGCGCCGGGGTAAAAAATACCACAAAGTGGCTCGATCGTTAGACGAAAATATTATGCTAACTATCCGGTGGAGCTATATACGGCTCTCGCAGCCACCTGATTTTCTGCGACTGTGAGTCACGAAGACCGACAATGAAGAAGTCGTCTCCCGGGTCCTCGATTTAGAAACGGGTTTCCTCGCAGAAACGCAGGATAACGAATGCACCCGTTGACGATGTCATTACCGTAATCCTGGCGCGAATAATTGTGTACGATGCCCGGCGGGGGGCCAGATATTTAAGGGTCATTAATTCTCTCGAATCGACGACTCATCGACGCAACAAAGAGACGAGAAAAAACAGAAACGCAGTTTAGATGCAGATGAGATTGCAGTTTAGATGATCAAGATTTAAGAGGCTCGAGCCATCGAGGGGCATCTTCGATCCGCCGGAAAGAAGGCATACACGCCGGAAAATTAATTCGGCGGATGTGACGTCACGGATCGGCGACCGCTTCCTCCGACAATCTTCTGAGAGGCTTCTCCGCTTGCGTCACACGCGCGTTCTGCTCGCGAGGCGTTCCTCGGGACGAGGAGGAGAGAGATACGGATCCTTGAGCGATAATACGAATCTTTCCCCACGAGAGACACTTCACGAGAAACATTTCAGAGCTGAGACATTCCTTCTCACCGCGCGAACATCTATTTTTTATTTATTTGTTGCAATGCGAGATTAAAAGATGTGAGTGCGATGTGAGGGGATCAGGACCGCTCTTAAGTTCTTCTGAAGGGTTTTTAAAAATATCTAAATCGTGAAAAGATACACCTCGGATTGTTACAGCCTGTCAGATAGTTATTCATATCGGGATTAAGATCAGAATTAAGATTGCTCGTCAAAGATCTCGAATGACGCTCGGACGAAAGATGAAAACAGGATGTTAAGTACGGGATTCCTCCGCGGTTTCGTCCTGCACAATGCACGCCTCGGAGAGATGCCGGCTTTCAGGACGACGACCGTCTCGAAATCCCGACTGCGAGCGTTTTCGTAAGATGTTTTTCCACGGTAGCGATATGGATGCAGCGCCCACAAAAAAGGAAAACGCTGCTGTGTTGCCGCTTTGTGCGCTACAAACGTGGTTCCCATGGGTCCTCGTAGTCCTGGCGAGAAAAAGGAAGGAATTTCTCTGAAGAGGCGCCACTAGGAGAAGGATGCTCGCCAGGTGTTTTGGTGGTGGCCTCTTCTTCGCCCATCTTTCTCTCTTTCTTCCTCTTGCACTTCACGATGTATATGTTATATGTGTACATGTTTGTGTATATATATATATATATATATATATATATATATATATGTGCGTGTGTGCATTTGGGTCGCCTTCCCTTAGTCCTCCTCTCTCTCCCTCAACCACTGTCCTCTTTTGCTTGGCTCGCTCTTCTCTGCATCTTTCTCCCTCTCGCCCCTTCCTTCTTCTCAAACCCGTCGGTGAAACCAACCGCACTTTCCGTTTCTCTTTCCCTTTCTCTCCTTCGCATACATTCTGTATTTTCCTCCTTCTTCCTACAGCCGAATCTCCTTTTTACCACCTGGCAGAGCAGCAGCTGGTAGCGAAGACCAGCTCCTTCCTCAGGCAGGAATAAAGGAGAGCTCTGTGTCCTTCGGGAACCCCACAAGGAATCGGCGTAGCGGTCGCGACAAATTTCGCGCAAATCGCCCACAGATTTATCGCGGTAGACCACAGACATAATTTGATTACACCATTGTGAAGATAAAATGGATAAACCAATTTCGCTTTTAATAAAATATATTTGGGTAATTTATGAAAAAAATTAATTTAGCTAAATGGAAAGATATGTTGCTGGCTTCTTATCATACTTCAGTACTTTAGTATTAACTTAATATCTCTTCTCTAATGAACATTTATTTATGCGAGCAAAAATAAAGGCTGTATTCTCAATTGGTCTACTTCGTTCTTTTTTTAGGAGGAAATTATTATTACTGAGCTTTTAGTCGCGATTCCGACCCGGTTCTCACGTGTCGCGAACCCGGCGCGGCGCGGCGTCGGAGGCGCTCGCACGCGGTTACGCGCAATTACGAGCAGCGAGTCGTTAAGGTTCATCGTAGCCAGTTTTACGAGCGGTTACGCGGAATAATAATCAACGAATTAAAATGCGGTGGTAAAACCTCCCCGCTCTCGTCGTCGGTGGGGGCGCTCACCTGGGCACTCGAGGGTGCATGCGTCCCCCGCAATTTACTCGGCGGGCCGCTTAACGATTCCTGCGTTTAATGCTTTAATCGCACGTGAAATTTCTGCCCTTACCCATCGTGCCGATAGACGTAAAATCGCGTAAGAGATCGAGGCTCGCTATTAACGGCCGAGTAAAGTTTCGCGTCGCG